ACAGTGTTCAGATACTACATTATTTGCACTAGACCATTTACTGCAGACTGAATGAGGGAAGTGACAAAGAGGACGCAGTGATAACTTGGAGTATGAGCCCAAACCACTGAAAGAAAAGAATTACCATCAAGACAAAACAAAAAAGAAAACGAAAGCTCCACTCTGAGTCAGTCCTGTGTCGATGGGGTCACACGTGAAAATGCTTCACTTACTTGTTATAGACCATGTATTTGGCAGGAAAGGTGCCATTGATAGCCACATCTGACCCTGGCCAAAAGAAGGTACCAGATTTTAAGCCCTGGTACATGGCTGTCAGCCAAATCTGTAAGAGAAGAAAGACATCGGATGAGTAAAAGTCAACAGAATGAGGAGTTTGGAGAGAAATGGTACAACTTACCAGAAACAACTACGAGCACAGTTGCAAAATGAATCTAATTTATCTAAATGTATAAGATGCTTTTGAATTATTTAAAATTCAATCATGCTTGACCTTGGGTCTATAAAAGTAGAATTTAGAAAAAGGTACATCTGCATGAAAGCAAAGCAACAAGAGCACCTTCACACGGGAAGACCTCTCGGTGCGAACTTGGGCAAGTGTTTTGTTCAAACTGTCGATCAATTGCAAAACCTCGAGCGAAAGGAAAGCCAAAGAACCGCCTGGATAGCTTGTTCATATTCAAGCGGAGGTCATCATTTTTTAACTAATAAAGTATTCCTAAACGCTGAATACGTTTCTTCTTGTAAAGTGTAGATTATGGAAGCCAATCAACTAAACGAAATTTAAAGGATTAAAAAAAATGCCTTTGTAGCAGTTAAAAAGAATTAGTACCTAGGAGTCACCTTTAAAAAATCGGAAATGTGGGATAGGAGTAAAAATGATCATTTTATTTTCAAATTGGTAAGATTGACAGTTCTGCTTTCTCTTTTAATGAATTACAAAGCAGAATGAGGAAAATTAATAGATACTCTGACAGAGTAGCCTCTAGAATGACACACTTATAGTACAATACTGAAGATTTACCATGAGGCCATTTTGGTGAACAATCATCAGTTAAAAACAAAATAATAATAATTTATAAATTATCAAGGGTTCATGGTTATCAATACTAATTTATAAATTATCAAGGAGTGGGAGGGAGGGGAAAAATGAGGTGCTGATACCAAGGGCTCAAGTAGATAGAAAATGATTTGAGAATGATGATGGCAACATATGTACACATGTGCTTGACACAATGGATGGATGGATGGAGTAATAAGAGTTGTATGAACCCCCAATAAAATGATTTTTTTTAAAGAAAAAATATATATTAAAATATACTTAGAGGTGAAACACGTTCCCTGGAAACTAGAAGGATAACGTCACACTCAGAATGGAGAGAGATGACAGCTCCTCTGCTCCCCAGAGGTTCACTGTCACTGGGAAATGGGGGCCATTGGGTTCCATGGAGAGTTTGCTACTTACTGGCTGTCCTCCCCACCAGGCTGGATTATCTTTCTCTTTTGATGAAAGAGAAAAATTCTTGTTGAGATTTACATCATACATATTATTGTCAATAATGCCATGTGATTCTAGATATAAACCCTAAAAGGAGATATGATAAAATAATGTTAGTAAAATATATTTAAATTAAAATATCATAAGATCTATAACTCATACCTAGGAAAGTCGTCATATATCATTCATTGTAAAATCCCTGGTTGACATCCAAATGCCTGTATATATAATACACACACACACACACACACACACACACACACGAGAGGAATAAGTCAAAAAGTATTGTTTCTGGGGCTCCAGTGGCTACATGCATGGGTTTACTACAAATAGACTGCTGCACACAAGTTGTCTTGGTGATGCGCTTGTCTTGGTCTGGTTAGAGTGCATTTAAAAATGATCCAATAAAAACAGTGGTTTCTGAGGGGATCTCCTGAGCCAGTTAAATACAAGGCAGAGAGGTCAGCTGAGAAAGTTATGGTGACTGTCTTTCGGGATTCCCAAGGGGTAAGGGGCAATACTGATCGATATTGTCAAAATGCAAAGATTGGTCTTATAGGCTTTTAGGGAGAAGCTTAAGTAAACTAGAAACTGCAATGGTCAGAAAAAGACCAGGAAAATTTCAAGGGAAACTGATTTGAGTCGTTCAAGGATGCCAAAGCTACTATTTTCGTGTGGTGGATATCAAAGAGAAAGGATTCTTCAGGTTAGGGATAGAGAAATTGAGCACCGTCTTCAAAAGCAAATAGACAGACTTACATGGTAGATATGTCCCCAAACAATCGCTTCCCATTTTTATATTTTTACTTAATAAAGATTTCTATGATTTTGTAGCTTAACATAAGGTTAATCAAACCTGAATCAATGGTTTCTATGGTTATGTAGCTTAACATCTTTCATTTAACCCTAATGGATTCATGTATACATAGGAGGGGGCTTCAAAGGTTCATGGAAAAATGGAATGAAATGACCATGGAATCTTTTCACCAACTTTTTGAAGCCCCTTCACATATATGCAAATCCATTGTTGTTGAGTCATATATATATATATATATAATCTCTAGTCATTATTCACTCATCCATCCACCCATTCATTTAACTACCGGTTATCAGTCCTTCAATTCAGCCACACATATTCATTCAATAATCATTGCTGCCTTCAACATGTCTGCTGCCTGCCAGAGGTCTTGTCAGTCAGTCGTACTACTCAACCAAGCACTTACTGTGACGATGGTGTAGTGATTTGGGAAGGTTTTGGTGGGATAGACAGCCCTCATGTATTTTGAATGAGTTCCACATGTCTCTGCAACAAAGTTCAGTGAGAAATTAGCAGTGTTTCCTCCTCAGAAGGTGTGCTGATAACTAAAATTCTGGAGTGAAAATTTCCCAGAGAAATGGTAAAAGACTAATCTGAGAGTGGATTGTAAATGAAAAGAGGTCGAAATGCTAGCTCAGAAAACGCATCTCTCCAAGGAATGTCAGCTTCTTGGAGAGGAATGCGCTAAATCGGGGTTCACACACCCTTCTGTAAAGGGCCATCAAGTGAATGGAACACCCTGCAGCTTTGTGGACGATAGCTCACTCTTACTGCTCCTGACTTGTGGTAACCTCTCCACTTCCCAAACTCCCACACTGGGAGTATTGTCTGTGTAGGCATTGAGACAAACTATTGAAACCAGCGTAGAAATCGAGTGCAGTGGGAGGAATGGTGCTGCAACCATTGGTAAGGAAGGACGAAGCATGGGGACATGTCAGACCTTCATCTCCTGGCAACAGGGGAGTCAGAGAGGGTCAGTTACGGCTGTCCTCCGAGCCCCATGCTGCTTATTGGAGTGGGTTTGAACCACCAAACTGGCGGTTAGCTTTCCAATGCTTACCCAATAACTATAAGGTGACCAGACATCCTGCTTTTGGTGGGACAGTCCCGATTTTTAACAATTTGTTCCTCATCCTGCGGCATTTTTAAAAAGGCCCAAATTTTGGAAAGAATGCATGACAAGCTAGGGAACAGTGGGAGAACAGCTGCCATGTGGCTATTTCGCCAGGATATGAGTTTTATGTTAATTTTGTTAATTTTATAATGTTAAACTTTTTTATAACATTAAACTTTTTTTATGTTAAACTTTTCTTATAATGTTAAACTTTAATAATAACAAATAATTGTTGAGAACTGATTATCAAGAACTACTTATCAAAGTTCGCATTGTTGATCAGTTGTTAGAATTCGACCACCATTGTTTTGGACTCAATGAACAATGGCATTTTGGGGCATTGGCAATGACGAAAACATTTTGTAACTCTCTCAGATGATACACATCATACTGCATGCTAGTGCTAGTTAAACAAGTGATGTCAACAAATCAGCTATTCAGATAATTTAGATAAGTAATTTATTTATTTATTTCATAAATACATACATTTTCTTGAATTAGCAGACAGTACTGGAATGATGTGCAAAAATCATTCGATCATATTACTCAAAATTTCCCATATAGTAATATTTCAAAAAGTGATCTTTATAATGAGGTATCATTATTTAAAAAATCTTGATAAGGAAAAGGTTAAATCTTGGGCATCAGCAAAAATCACAATAGAGAACAAATGGTTAGAAATATTTCATAATTTTGAAACAAACCATGTTCCAAACAATAATGCACTAAAAATTGTGGGATACACGCTGTGGGAACAAATGCTACTACTGAACACATTTTTCCCTACGGTAAATAAAGTGTGGGCATCAGAAAATTCACAATTTAGTGTTTAGACTTTGAAAGCCATTTTATGTGTGAAATATAATTTAACAAATTCTTGTGAAAATTTTCATGACCTTTTAAACGACAGCAATCTACTAAAAAATATTAATTCAAATAAGAAATATGCCAAAGAATAAAATAATACTATACATAATTTTTATTGTATTATATTTTTAAATTGTACTTATGTTGAAGTTTTAAAAAATATATCAGAATACTATTTTTTCATTCTATTAAAATTTTTGTTGCTCCATATAAACCAAATTTTTAATCAAGAACCCCTCCCCCCCATACCCGGTCAATGGTGTCCCGCTTTACCAATGTTAAAATCTAGTCACCTTACAATAACACCACCAGAGTTAAATGTACCCTAAACTATACACTATTTTATACAATTTTACCATTCCCTTCTATAATACTGGTAAATACAATAAAATTTTCCTAATAATGTTTGAATCTCAGCAGATCAGTTTTTAAGATGAAACCACCCAATGTAACAAAAGTAAACACAACTGTGTAGCTCATTTGAAAGGGATCTGACTTACAAGAAGCAAGGTTTAAAAATAAGCCAGCTTGGAACAAAAAGTGATCCAAAATCAATGTCAAGGAGGGTGCGGGAGGCCTTGCAGGGCTGGATCAAGGGCAATGTAACCTAGAGGAACGCCTAAAACCCAAATGAAGGCAGAACACGATAGTGGGACAAGAGGAAAGTGCAAAGAAATAGAGGAAAGAACTAGGAGGCAAAGGGTAGTCATAGAGATGTAAATACAGGCATATAAAGATGTAAATATATTTATATATGATGATCGGATAGATTGTAATCAGTGCACTAACCCTGCACAAGGAGGTCAGAACCATTGGTGCACACTGCTACTTCCTCTGCAGCAGCAAAATCCAAGAAAAGTTCCATAGACGCATCTTTCTGCTTTTACTTCTATGAAAAAGCTAGACCATTATGGATTCTATGTCGGTTACAACAACCAATGCAATTGATTGTTGTTCAAGAAGTCATACTGGGGAGCTGGGAAGCGATGAGGGCTTGTCGATTCAGAAGCGTGCTCTTTCAGAATCTTCTAGCACTAATATCAAGTCTACTAATTAGGACTCGCTGGTGTGGAGAGAAGAAGATGGGAGAGGGATAAACTAAAAAATGTACACTTTTAACAGGGTAATTCCAAGTAATTAAGTTTAAGAATGCATTGCATTGGGACTTGACTCATAACACATAACACAACCTTTCTTTCTTTGTCAATGCCACCAATAAATAAATCTTGTCCTTGACAGGAAGAAAAACATTTATTTTACTAAGAAATTACGTGACAAGGAAACAAAATGAAGTCTAATCCATGTATGTAATTAGAAGAATTTAACTGGTGGGAGAAAAGGTCAAACAATGGCCCCAGATTTATGAGCAGAAGTCAGGTTTTTGTTTTTGTTTTCTGCAAACATGGACGGCAGACTTAAATTCTTAAATGCCTAAAGCCACAGGGTATAAAAGGAAACACAAATTAAGCTTCTAGTATTGTGGAAACCTGGCACCTCCCTCACTATGATGTTGAAATGAGATATACTCCCGACTTCTACAGACTCAAGCTACCATTTTGGAAAACCTGCCTTGGAACCAGGACTATTAAAGTATGGCCTTTAAAAAGCAAAGTCTTCTAAATCTTATCATCTAAATCCAAATTATGACTGAGGTGAAAAATATTAGAAAGAGGGACAATAAACTAATTAGAAAAAGTCACTGTAAAGAAAAACTAGGACATTTTGTTTTTTAATTTAAGGATACTAGTAGCCAAATAGAAATCTGAAATATAAATGGACTAAACAAAAAGAGGTCCTTTGTAAGACCAATTGAAATACATGTAATAAGGAGAGATAAGCATGGAATTTTAAAAAATTGCACTAACTTGCACTACTTGTAACATGTCTAAGCAGATTCTAGCTGATGCACCAAGAAGGATAAGGCATCGGCTTGAAAAGAGCCGCTAGGAAACCAACATGAGTTCTACTAAAGCGAAGCAAGAACGAACACTGAGTTGATGGTAAGGCTGGATGGGAGAAGGGTGAGATTTTTGATGCTTTATGTACATTTAGGAGGACAATGACTTCCCACACAAAATCAACAGTTTATGAATGGAAACTCATTTCAAAAAGAGAAGACCCTGAAGATAAAATCCATAGCAGAAGACCATCTATCTCAATTTGTAAAGAAACAAATGAGTATAGTCCATGCTGTACTTGAAGAGAACCAAGCAATGATTAACAGCAGAGACAATATCAAACACAATAGATAACGCTATTGGCTCAGCTTATATAAGTCTCACTGAAAATTAAAGTTGAACAAACTTTCCACTCAATGGGTTCCAAACTGACAGCAGTTTTAGAACGGCTGCAGAAGAGATGAGAACTTTCCATCGAAATTTTAAACAAGTGATCTCAAGATCCCGACATGTTTCTTGGAAGAATTATAACAGGATATAGAACATGGCTCTACCAGCACAATCCTGAAGACAAGGTACAATGAAAACAAAGGCTACCAGGAGGTGGAAATGCTCCTGTCGAAGAGAAAAGGTCAGAACTTGGTCATGGCAAGAGCTCATGAAAAAAAAAAAAAAAGAGCTTCTGGAGACACTTTAGCTTGTTGACTTTCAATAAAGGAGCGAAAACCCCTCTGCTTATTATGACAGTGTTTTTAACAACATTAGTGAAAGTTTCAGCAGAAAAAACACCCAGGAAAGTTTCACCAGCGTCCTTCGCCGCGACAATGTCCTTACTCATTCCTCCACTCAAATGATAGCCATTTTGCTAGATTTTCTATGGAAAACCAGTGAGCTTCCACCTTACAGTCCTGATTTAGTGTCTCCTGATTTCTTTTATTTGTTGATCTTCAAAAATATCTTTAAAGGGCACCCATTTGTCTTCAGCCAATTGTGTAAAAAAATATCGCACTGGCAGTGTTAAATTCCTAGGATGCTAAGTTCGTTAGGGCTGGGATGAATGGCTAGTATCATTGCAACAAAAGTGTCTGGGCCTTTATGGAGTTTGTGTGGAGAAGTCAAGTTTACATATTTTCACTTTTATGTTCTAATTCCATTTTTCATGAACTTTTAGAAGCCCCCTCATCTACCCATTATTGTTGTTTTTGTCAGGTGCCACAGAATGGGTTGTGACTCACAGTGATCCTAAGCAGAACAGAATTAAACCCTGCCCAGTCCTGCACCATCCTCCCAATTGTTGCAGCCATTCTGTCCATCTATCTTGGTCCATCCTCTTTTTTGCCGCCCCTCTACCAAGCATGATGTCCTTTTCCAGGGATTGGTCGCTATGAGTTGCAATAGACTTCATGGCAGTGGGTTTGGTTTAAGAGAGTTGGTCTCTTCAGACAGCATGCCCAAAGCACATGATAATGGGGTGAGGACTAAATGGATGCATAGTTGAGCAGCTGAAGAACATGCAAATCAGACTACTGAAAACTCGTTGAGATTCTTATGAGTCATGTATTGAAATATTGTCATTAAAGTATTGGTACATATTGAAGACATAGCAAACTGCTCAGCAATAGTCAAAGGCTTAAAATAGACACTTTTCATTTAGTAAACAAACTCAAAAACCAAACTCATTGTCAGCGAGCTGATTCCAATTCAGAGATCCTGTAGGTCAGAACTGCTCCTTTGGGTTTCTGAGACTTTAAATCATCACGGAAGTAGACAGCCTCATTTTTCTCCCACAGACTGGTTGATGACTGTGACTGGTTGGTTCAAACTGCTGACCTTGTGGTTAACGGTACAATGTAGAGCCCCCCATGCCACCAGGGCTCCTTTTAGTAGAATAGCCTCCTGGAAATCCAAACCATACAGTTGGCCTCTATCATGTCCTTAACTCAAGGAAACCTGCAGGGACTTCTATTTTCTCAGTAATTGCAAGCATATACCTGAACATTGACACGTAGGGAAGACAGCATGGAAGAGAACAAAAAGCAAACAGCATCTGTTGTAGGGAATTCCAGGGTTCTGCTGTTCAGTACTGCCACCCTGGATAATTCTAAGCTTCAAAAATTCACATATCTTGCCTGCCTGGAAATTAGCTTTCTACCAGCTATTTTAGTTTATTTTACCCAATTTCCCACCTAATTTTCCAGGAAGTTTGACTTCTGCTCTAGCCAAAGAATTTCTCGTTCACCTGACAGTTTCCTGATCTTGGTCTGCCCTTCCCTTGCCTCCTGCCACTCAGACTGAAACAAAAGAATGCCCAAATCTCGCTGGAGCATGTCTGAGAGTCAACTCATCCTAACAGGCTTCACTGCCCTGTGGTCTTAGTTCCTGCTCAGCGTGTGCAGCCACTTTAGTCCAACCAAGACAGCTTGATGGGAATCTGGAGATGGGGTGCTAGAGGTTCTTAACAGTGAGATTTGCTGCCCTATACCTCACCTCAAGGCAAGGTGAAGCCTAATCCTAGCATTTTACTACAGGCTTATCTTAATTGAGCTTCTTAAATACCACTGTCCCAAATGTGTCTTGTCCCACCTAATGAGGGATGTGTTTATACATTTGAACATTGAGATACTGCCTGAATGACTCAAAAGTATTTTAAACCTACGGAAAAAAACAAAGCACCTAATGATCCAGTATTTCGTGGTCTCATGTCCAACTCTCAATGGGTTGAACAAATCAAGTAATTTCTTTACAAAAAGGGGTAAGTTGAACCTGCCTAGGTAAATCCCTCTCTGGACACAAGCTTTAATGAGTATATTATCAAGAGAAATGTTGAGAAGGAGACAAAAACTGAGAGGTATTGATCAACTTTTCTGGCCCAAGGGTGTTAGCAGAAAGAGACAAGTCTTCAATGGAGCCAATTCTGGCAGAGCCACAAATGCTGACTCTCTTTGCTAAACACCCATCTCAGATCATGAACGAGCAGCTGAAGAGGTCGGATAGCATTTCTTTGGGATGTGATGATTTATCTGGCTTTCTAGAAAGAGTAGTATTTTAGAGCTGAAATTAGCAGGAGAAATTAAGATTTATCCATTCTTCTTGTTTGACACATATGGTCATTGACCAAGAAAAACAACTGGTTTATTCAGGCTTAACATTTTTTTTGTAATCTGAAGAAAGATAAATACAGGGAGACAGTAAAATTGCCATTAAATGTGAGAACCTTGTCTATAGAAGAAGACTTGGGAGAAAGAGAAATGAAGAGAGAAATGGTGAGGCAGTGAAGCATTTGAGCCCTGGAGTGAGCCTTTGATTCTGATCATGTTCTGCCATCGTCTATCTCTGTGTTGTTCAGCACTCACCTTCTCCATATTATTAACATTATCAGATTGTAGGGAGACCAAGTATACCTTAATGTAGAAGTACAACATCATGATATGGCTGATAACAAAAGCAGTAATTATAGAAATAGCTTTAAATCATTCAGTGTAAGTTGATGGTGCCAGGCTATCAAAAGATGTAGCATCTTGGGTCTTAAAAGCTTGAAGGTAAACAAGCGGCTATCTAGCTCAGAAGCAACAAAGCCCACATGGAAGAACATATTAGCCTGTGTGATCATGAGGTGTCGAAGGGATCGCTGAAGACAAATGGGTGCATAAGCAAATGTGGCAAAGAAAGCTGATAGTGCCTGGCTATCAAATAGTATAGTGTCTGGGGTCTTAAAGGCTTGAAGGTAATCAAGTGGCCATCAAGCTCAGAAGCAACAAAGCCCACATGGAAGAAGCACACCAGCCTATGCGATCACGAGGTGTCAAAGGCATCAGGTATAGGGCATCATCAGAACAAATAATCTTACCATAGTGAAGGATGGGGAGAGTGTGGAATAGAGACCCAAAGCCTATTTGTAGACCACTGGAGATCCCCTTGCAGAGGGGTCTCGGGGAGGAGATGGGCCAGTCAGGGTGCGATGTAGCAGCCATGAAAAACACAACTTTCCTCTAGTTCATAAATGCTTCCTCCCCGCCACCACTATCATGATCCAAATTCTACCTTGCAAGTCTGGCTGGACCAGAGGATATACACTGGTACAGATAGGAACTGGAAACACAGGGAGTCCAGGGCAGATGATCCCTTAAGGACCAGTGGTGTGAGTGGCGATACTGGGAGGGTAGAGGGAGAGTGGGTTGGAAAGAGGGAACCTATTATAAGGAACTATATGTGACCCCCTCCCTGGGGGACCGACAACAGAAAAGTGGGTGAAGGAAGACGTCGCACAGGGAAAGATATGACAAAATAATAATTTATAAATTATTAAGGGCTCATGAGGGAGCGGGGAGGGGGGAGGGAGGGGGAAAATGAGGACCTAATGCCGGGGGCTTAAGTGGAGAGGAAATGTTTTGAGAATGATGAGGGCAATGAATGTACAAATGTGTTTTACACAATTGGTGTATGTATGGATTGTGATAAGAGTTGTATGAGCCCCTAATAAAACAATTTTAAAAAAAAGAGTCACCACAGGGAGGGAAAATCATTCAGTGTATACTGCATGTACATTCTCATCATAATCCTATCCAGGTAGGAATTATTACCCTGAACAGATTACATATGATGAAAGGGTGGTCAACAAAAGGTGAGATAAACTTGGCCAAGTTATCCCAGCTAGTAAGCGGTGGAGTCAAGTCTCAGATAGTTTGATATCAGAAACAAATATAGATCATGGGCCTCTCACCTTCTGGACCATTGGTGTTTGGTAAATGTGTCCAGTCTACACAGATTCTCAAGGGACCCCACCCTTGCTGGGCACATCTATTTCATTAGGACCCAGAACCTATTTTGGGAGCTGTCACTTTGGAGCCAGTATGAAGGACCAGATTTCTATAGGACAGAAATTCCATTCAAATACAAAGAAGTGAAAATAATCAAAGGGATCAGCATGGTACCAAGAACAAAAGGAGACACCAACAAGTATGAAAACACACTCCCTATGAAAAGAGATTGCGTATGATAAAGCCATCCGGACTTTGAGGGGACCTGTGGTAAGACAGTCCACTAACCCTAGAAGTCAGAAAAAAAGGTGTATCAATCAATCATCTAGAGATGGCCTAGCTTGGTTTTCGATTTGCAGGATCTGTCGGTGGGGAACTTACTCAGTTTATTGATGTTCGGCATGAACTTGTACCAGGTTTGTAAATACTCAGCCCGAAAGCCATCCATGGAAATCAAGATAACTGGTGGTAGGTCAAACCTGAAAATGAAAACGAAAGTCAGTCCGTTGTTATTTTTATTGTGAAAAGCAACAAATATGGTTTTTTGTTCCCCTTTCAATTAGAAAACATAGTAAGATTGTACTGGTGTCTTTGCAATGGTCTATTATTCATAAGCGAAAGTAGTAGACACAACCTAAGTGGCAATAAATAAATGAATAGGTAAACAAAATATGATATAGATGGATACATGAATATTATCCCCCCTAAGGGAAAATAAAGTTCTGATATATGTTTCAATATATAAACCTTGAAAGCATCATGCTAAGTGGATTAAATGCATCATGAAAGGACAAATAGTGTTTGATCTCACATATGAAATATCCAACATGAGCCAACAGTGCAGAGATAAGAGTTTATTAATTAACTACCTGGGGATTAGGGGAAGGGGAGAATGTGATTTATTATGCAAGTGGTACTGTTTCTTGGGGTCTGATAAGAATTTGGAAAGTGTGGATGTCACTGAATTATAGTGTCAACAAACTATAGATTTTTAAATGGTTGAAATGGGAAATATTATATATATATGTTAACACAATAAAAATGCTTAAATGGAAAAAAATTTTTAAATGGATGAGTTAGTTAGAAAGAGATGATGGTATAATTAAAAATGTTTTCCTAATTGCTTCTACCCAGCCTTATTGTACTGGCTTATGTGTGTGGAGACCCATGATTCTGCATCTCAATTGGGACCTATTAATGGAAATGAGGAAGGGTGGGGGGAAAGGAAAGAAGGAAGGAGGAAGGAAGGACAGAGAGTACTAGCATAAGATTGTTTTCCTTTCCTTCTTAAAAAAATATTTCCTTTATAAAAAACTAAACTAATTATATGGAGGTATACTTAGTACTTCTAGTGTGTAGGAGATCTCTAATTAAAATGGATATTAAAATCAGAATGGATTCAATAGCAATGTGTTTGGTTTGGTGTTTATCTAACCAAACACACTGATTGCTATTGAATCCATTCTGATTCATAGTACCACCATATATACCTATTATAGAGTAGAGCTGTTCCACAGGGTTTTCTTGTTTCTAATCTAAATGGAAGAAGATCAAAAGGCCTTCTAAGTTAGCCTCAAGCTTTAGGTTAGCATCCAAGAATAAACAGTTTGTCCTTAATAGGGACTTCATAGTAGGTCTATAAGGAGTTAACTAACTGTTCTTTATAATAGATGTGAGTGGCATTTGAGCAGAGCACTAACAAAGCACCAACAGAAATAAGATTTACATTGAAGGCCCTTTAAAGCCCTGGCTCTGGCTAAATCAAAAGAAGTCAAGTGGTAGTGATTACCAAGTTCAAGGCTGTAAACTACAAAATTATAAAATTTTGTTTACTCCATTGTACTGTCCTACATACACAGTTGACCCTTGACCTTGAACAACACAGGAGCTGGGCCACCAACTTCCCATGCAGTTGAAAATCCATGTATAGATTTATAGTTGACCCTTGGACAACATGGAATTTATCTGCCTGGGCCCAAGGAGCTCAAAGGTTGCAAATAAGTACTGTGTGATACTAACCATCTCAATGAGTTGCTGGAGAGGACAGAGTGCTCAAGTGTGGACATTCACTGCGCTCCACTGTGGAGCCGTCACCCAGAACAAGATCCCTGCCAATGCCCGGAAGTCTCCCCTGGTGGTCCCATTCAGTGACTACATTCTGCAAACCTGACTCCCACACACCACACCACACTCTCACCACCAAAAAGGGTCACTAGTATCTTGACTTCTAACAGCACAGAGTTGTTTTATCTCTTCTTCTCCTTTCCCCTAACATTTACATACAAGTAGAACCAGACAGTGTGTACTCTACGACATCTGCCTTCCTTCATTCGACATTATTTGGGAGTTTTCAGCAAAATAGTTGCATCTAGTTGTGCTTGTTTTCATCTGTATTCCAGTGATACAGTAAGTTATAATTCATTCATCCTACTGCTGATGGGAATTTTTCATACCTAGGTGTTTTGCACAAAAACATATCAACCTAAGAAGTGTGGCTAGAACAAAGCAAAAGTTCCACCAAACTCCCCAATAGGGTTCAGATAGAAAAATCTGCATGCTGATGAATTTTTCAATGTGTTTGAGTTGGAAATTGAGTTAATTCTGAAAAAAGAAAAATGGGTCATCTAACTACCCAGCATAAAAGTATGGGAAGAATCTCAAAAACAAACCAAGTTTTCCAGAGGAAGCCTTTATTGTAGAGTGATTCATTTAGCAAACAATTAAGCTGGGCATTCTCCTGGATGTTGAGGACAAAGGTATGAAAGAGTAAATGCTCCCATGAGAAAGGAAGGGGAGCTGCGAGCAGCTGTTCAGGATGTTGAGTAAGTAGGAGAACAGAGCAGGCTGGCCAAGGAGTGTGACTGGTGAATGGAGCTCTAAAGACCAATAGAAATGTGAAAGGAGAATTGGACTAATGTTTGACCCAAAGAAAATAATCCTGTGCCAACGCCCATAGGTTAAATACAGGAATATGTATGAATCTCAGAGCATTAGGTTAAGCAAAAGAAGCTCCATACAAATGAACACATGCTTTGATCCCATGCATAGGAGATTCTACAAGGATCCCTGGTGATAGATATCAGAATTGTGAGGGTCTCTGGGCAAGGGTAGAATGGACAAGGAGTATCTCTCTAAGGTAATGCAAATTAAATACTTGATCCTGTGAGTGCTGTGGGTTATGCTGGAGTATGCATTTCTAAATCTCATCAAACTGTTTGCTTATGCGCAACATATATCAACTCTACCTCCATTCTTAACATGGAAAATTAGAAGTGTTTTAACTATATCCTGTGTGGGATTGAGCCAAACTTTAGACTAGCCAAGTACAATTTGGAAAGGAAAATATTTTTTCCCCAAAGTAATTACTGTTGGCATAGTTCTCATGAAAATGTTTTATATCCACAAATACACTACCAAAATGACCTTCCCACTTAAAATAATGTCAAAATGCTTATGAGATCAAGTGTGGGATCTAATGGACCTTAAAAACATTAATGGGTGAACTAAGTCAGTAACAAAAGATCAAATAATGCATAAAATCACTTAAATGAAATGTCTAGAACACACCAATGAAGAGAGTCATGTTCATTAGTGGCTGCACAGGCACGTGGGTGGTGTGGTTGGGAGAGTTTGTTAGTGGGCACTGAATTTCTGTTAAGAAGGATGTAGCCAACTGATGTATGTATGGATTGTGATAAGAGTTGTATGAACTCCTAATAAAATGATTTTTTTTAAAAAGAAGAAGGATGGAGCATTGGGGAAATGGATAATGGTGATGGTTGTACAATAGAAAATAAAAAGAATGGAATCCAAAGTTCCAGGAGAGCTCTTTCTCGCCTCCCTGCCCCTCCAAACTGCCTACTCCAGTAGTGCCATCTCAGTGCCAAACTCACGGCTGTCAAATCGATTCTGACCTTGTCCCTTTAGGACAAAGTAGAACTGCCCCTGTGGGTTTTCAAGACTAACTTTCTATGGGAGTGGAAAGCCTGCTCTTTCTCCTGAGAAGTGGCTAGTGGTTTCCAACTGCTGACTTTTTGAGTTGCGTCCCAACATATAGCCTACTGCACCACCAGGGCTCCATAGTACAAAATTATAAACATTGTAAGACCACGAACATCTTTGTAGGTAAAATATCTGTCATTATTTCCTTAAGGCACATTCTCTTAAGATGAAGTTTCCTGGTCAAAAGATAAGCACTTTCAAATAAGATTAATATATTTTGTCCCAATATCTAAATCATATTACACATCACTACCCACTTCCCTGTTTCAACAAGCTGATGAAGCACTGGAAGCCCTCACTCATTTATGCCAAGAAAGTTGGAAGACAAGTACTTGGCCAACTGACTGTAAGAGATCTATATTTATGCACATTCCAAAGAAAGGTGACCCAATAGAATGATTGGATTATAGAATGATATAGATCTCACATGCACGTAAAATTTTGCTGAAGATCATCCAACCACGGTTGCAGCAGTACATTGATAAGGAGCTGCCAGAGGTTCAGGCCTGATCAGAAGAGGATGTGGAACTAGGGATATCATTGCTGAAGTCAGATGGATCTTGGCTCAAAGCAGGAAAATACCATAAAGATGTTAACTTTGTTTGATTGACTATGTCATGGCATATGATTGTGTGGACCTTAATAAACTATGGATAACCTTGAGAAGAATCAGAATTCTAGAACCCTTCATTGTGTTCATGAGGAACTTGTCCATGGATCATGAGGTAGTTGTGCTAGCAGAACAAAGGAATACTGCCCGGTGTAAAATCATGAAAGGTAGGCACCAGGGCTGTATCCTCTCACTATATTTATTCAATCTGTATGCTGAGCAAAACAACAGAGATGCTGGCTTATATGCAGAAGAATGTAGCATCAGGATTGGACAAAGGCTTATTAACAACCTGCGATATAGTGAGGAGGATTTGAGGCACTTGCTGATGAAGATCAAGGGTTGCAACCATCAGTATGGAATTCAACTTCATGTAAAGAAGACTAAAATCCTCACAACGGAACCAATAGGTAACATCATAATAAATGGACGAAAGCTTGAAGTTGTTAAAGACTTTTTCTTGGTTGGATCCACAATAAATACTCATGGCAGCAACAGCCAAGAAATCAAAAAGGACTAATACATTTGAATTGTGGTGCTGGAGAAGAATGTTGAAAGTACCAAGAACTGCTGAAAGGACAAACCAATCTCTGTTGGGAGAAACAAGGCCAGAGTGCTCCTTAGAGGCAAGGGTGGTTAGACTTCATCTTACATACTTCAGACATATTGTCAGGACATATTGCCCCTGCAGAAGGACATCATGCTTGGTGAAGTGGAGGGGCAATAAGGAAGGCCCTCAATGAGATGGATTGGCATTGTGGCAACAATGGGATTGCGTGTGGGAATGATTGTGAGGATGGCACAGAACTGGGCCATGATTCCTTCTGTTGTGAATAGGCTCGCTAATAACAACATCTGCCTTGAGGGCGGAATCCTTGGCTTTTTACTCCTGTAAAGGCTTACAGTCTCAGAACCCCACAGAGGCAGTTCTAGATCCACTCTGTCCTATAAGGTTGTTATGAGTCGGAATGGACTCAATGGTGGTGTAGTGGACTACTCCTTGGGCTGCTGCCTGCAAGGCTCAAAGTTTGACACCACCAGCCACTTCACAGGAGAAAGATGAGGCTTTCTGCTCCTGTAAAGATTTACCCCCTTGGAAACCCACAGGGACGGTTCTGTTCTATTGGGTGGCTGCAAACCAGAAGGCACTCTCTCGTGGTGAGTATGGTTGCTATGCCTCAGAACAGACTAGAGGGCAGTGGGTTTTATGTTTTTTTTTTAAGCACAGGTGGCTGCTCATTTATTATAAGCATGAAATAGTGCACCTAACAAAATCCCACTCTTTCACCCTTCCTGGGTCACCTTTCATTGTAAGACCTCCCAGAAACAAACTTCTTACCTTCCCAAGTAAGACATTCCCTCCCTCAAATAAGAAATGTAGGGCTTAGATGAGGGACCCCTGGTGCCGTAGTGGTTACTTGTGGGTTTGCCAACGGCAAGGTCAGCAGCTCCAAGAGAGAAAGATGGTCTTTCTACTCCCAGTCTTGGAATCCACAGGGGCAATTCTACCCTGTCCTCACAGGGTCGCTCTGATCAACTTGATAGCAGGGAATAAGAGGCTTAGGAGGTTCATTGAAAAAAGTATTGGCAGGAGTAAATGCGACCTAAATTTTAGTCTTGATTGTAGGATGTTAGGACTCTGTGAGTGTTTAAAGTTTCAGTCAAATGTTAAAGCATGACCATAATATAGTAATACAAAAGCATTCTGTACACAATGAAGTGAAGTTGGACTTTGAAGGTACAATAAATCTAACCTTTTGATAGCTTTTGAAATGAACATAGCTTTAAGGAAGCTGAAGTTCCACCCTGTCTTTCAAATTACATTCCCATGTGCCCACTGTGATAACCACCCCCACCCATGTGGGGCTCACCCTTCTGGACACTGAGATGGTTGCGATGTGCTACATTCTTCTTTCACCCACGGTGTTTCTCCTGGAAAGAAGAAGATGAAACCCTTTAGGTATCCGGTTCATAAAATTAGATAAGGGAAGCAAGTGTTCAATGGATTTGACCTTGGACCATGTTACCCCAATAACAAAACTCTTCCAGAACACATTAAATGCACATAGCATTCATTACAGAGAA